CCGCCCCCTTATTTTCCTCTCCAAAAATTTGCCCAATCACATAGTTTCGTAGTGAAGCATGGGTACCCTGCTAGTGTGTGTGTAATTTATAATGTTACTACCTTTCACAATGATTAAAGAACCCTAACACTGTAGTTGTAATGTCAATGGTTTTGTTTGGTTTAGTAAGTAATATATGTGCTAGGTTCATGAATCATGCCAAACGTAATGTGATTTCTTGCACCTTCATTTAGTGTGTAGTATAATTCCAGAAATGATTTGTAAATTGTGATTCATTGCTAAGTATTTTGCATGCATTCAGAAATTATGGTTTATATAGCAATAGCGCTTTGATTTATATACCGCTTCACAGCTCTCTCTAAGCGGTTTACAGAGTCAGCATATTGTCCCCAACAATTATGCAGCAAACGTTGGTTAAATAATGACTTGAAATAGTGACTGTGATCAAAGAAGATGAAAATAGATGTGCCTAAATCATGAAAACTATCTGGATGACTCTGAGCCTGACCCACCCCTCAGGGATGTTGTTATAGGGAAACTAAGAGGGGGAAGGTATGTTGGATATGTTCACTGACTTGAATTATAAAAATAATAAAGGCAGGATACAAATAAATAAAAATGAATGAATGAATGAATGAATGAATGAATGAAAAAACAAGGAACATCTTCTAAAAAAATTCCAAATTCAGAGGATAGTATCAAAGTTAAAAATGATATGCTAAAAATACTAGTGGACAGATGATGATTGATTCAAACAAGATCATACAAAGATGAAAAGAGTTGTATATGAATTTTTTTTATAGAAGGGATGTCAACATCCAAGATACCTTGGAAAACATTCCTTATGTAGAAGCATGTCTATGTTAGGACATGTAATTAGATCAATTTTCTCGTCATTATCAAGGGAGAAAACTACAGCAATTGATGGAATGTATATAAAAATATGGCAAGCAACATAAACATAATTAGCAAAAATTCTAAGCTAACCAGGAAATCAGGAGAACAATATTGAAAAAAGGATCTGTAATAAGAGTGCAAAAACTATCATAAAACTGCTTTTTTTCACATACTAATTATATAATATGTGGAGTCACTCAATGCAGTTTAGAATCCTCCATGGAAAAAATGCTGCCAAATGTTCAAGATTTTAGAAAAGGAACACAAGACATTAGTGTTGGTGTACAAAGTTGAAAAAGCCAAAGGGTATAAAATATAAGTCAATATGTGACTACTGATTATAATAAGGCCTTTAATTATGTCAAGCTATGAAATATTCTAGGAAAATTGGAATTACAACATCTTGTTATCCTCATGTAAATCTTATACTCAGGACAAAAATACATATTCCAGATGAAAAATAGTAAAACAGACTGGCTCCAGCAAAAGAATGAAACAAGGGTTCCTGATCTGTCCTTAATTGAAAAATTTGACATGACCTAAATTTAACAAACCTAGACTGTGTGCTTAATATACTTTGAAGGAAGCTTGGAAGAAGATGAGTATTGTTTTAAAACTGGAGGAACAAATATCTGTAACCTGTACTATGCTATTGACATTACTCTGGTAGTTAAACATATAAATGATTGGCAAACTGTAACAATGAAAGTCGGGGAGTATCGTGAAAAAATTGGAGTAATATTATGTATATTATGTATAAAGAAGGCCAAAATAATGACAACAGATACAATGACCAGTGTATCAATGACAATGAAGATGTGTTGGATAGCGTTTGTTTTTTAGGATCCACCATCAACAGTAATGAGCAATCAGTCAAGAATTATGGAAAAGATAAGTTGAGCAGGCTTGGAAAAGGTATCCAGATGCCATGATGTATTTATACCTTAAAAAATCAGATTATATAAGTCATGGTATTCCCTGGAAGCAAAATTGAGAGATACAGGATAGCAAAATTATTGATGCTTTTGAAATTTGTTGTTGGTGAAAACTCCTGAGAATACAATGGAAATTTAAGAAAACAACTGGAGGAATCAATTCAGAATTCTTACTCAAGCCACAAAGGATCAGGTTCAAATTATTCTACTTCAGACACATTATGTGAAGACCTAGAAAAGGCTCTAATGCTGAGAAAGATGGAACAAAAAAAGAGAGGATAAAACAATGTAGATGGATTTAAGGGTAGCAATGAGTGTGCTCAGGTTAGGGACAGGTTCCATGGAAGACATGTGGTTGCTAAGAATTGACATTTAATTGATGACCTTTAATCTGTCTGCCAAGATCAACCAGGTACTGCCAAGAAAATATAAAAAGAGATTTTAACTTTTACAGAGGTAACATCATTCTCTCCTTGCAATTGCAACTCATAGCCACAAGATGACATCCTATTAGTTTACAACATGATGTAATTATATTATACCACATGTAAACTAATAAAGATTGCTATACAGGAGAAATTTCAGAGCCAGAGACATTTAACAGACAAACAAGGGTCCAATGATAACATATTAAGATTATCAGAGCAACTAAAGCTGGTTTTATTTCTTCTTCATATTTTGGGAAGCCATAGTTGGTTTAAGGCAAAATTTTGATTTGTCTTTGACAAGTGTGAAAACCAAAATCACAGCATCAAAATCTGGAAATTTGCCATTGAATATTGGTGAACATGGAAGGATTCCACATTGTAAAAGGAGCCAGGGGCCATGTTCTTCCACATTCACAGTATTCTTCCTTTTTCTAAAAATGAGTCATTTTTCTTAAGCACAAGGTTCCTAGACTTATTCTTTGTGTTACAGATAGATGATACCGAATCTGTTCTCCCCAACGCAGAAGTACGACTTGTACAGTGCTATCTAAGCTTGTGCAGACAAACTGTGGCTCAGCAGTTGTACAAAATATCTTTGTAATATATGCATCAAGATCCATTTACAGACCCCTATGGTTCATGTACATTTTTTAAAAAAAGTATATTGCTTGTACAAAACAAGGAATTAAATAAATGTTGTATTTTTGCAGAATATGAATATGATGATTAAAATTATTTTTAAAATTACTTTGCATACCATATTAAGCTGTTTGTGGTTTGATTATGACTTAATGTGCTGAATTACTGCATATACACAAGAGATAAATAAGCCCATCCATGAATAAACCGACCTGCAAAATTGTAACCAACTGAGCAAATGGTTTTCCTTTTTTCCCATTTACTAACTTGTTTTTCATGTAGCTCAAATTCTATGGCAGCAACAAATGTTAAGTTACTCTGCTAATAATTTTGGCTTGAAAGCTACACCATATAACAATTGGCAATTTCCAGAAATGGTAATTGACTGCCTACAGAAATGTACGCAACAAAATATTTAAAAACTGCAACCTTTTATGCCATCATTTAAAGATTGTGATTTTTAAAAAAAATCTGAGGTCTAGTAAGATGAACCCAATTTTTGTTGTGTATTTTGGAAGCCAAAAATAATCTCATCTTATTTGTATTTATTAGATTTGTGTTTAATCCATCTTTATTACTATTATTCTATTCTATTCCTTTTATAAGTACAGGTAGTCCTCAACTTACAGCCATTCATTTAGTGACCATTCAGAGTTACAACAGCACTGGAAAAATGTGACTTACAGATATTTTTCACCCAACTGTTGCAGCATTCCCATGGTCACATGATCAAAATTTGTATGCTTGGCAATGGTCTCATATTTATGACAATTGCATCACGTGATTACCTTTTGAAACCTTCTTATGAGCAAAGTCAATGGGAATCCAGATTGACTTAACAATTGTGTTACTAATTTAATAACTGCAATGATTTATTTAACAACTGTTAAATAAAGGCAAGAAAGATAAAATGGGACAAAATTCACTTAACAACTGCTGTCTCACTCAAAGTAGTAAACCTTCATAATACTACTTCCTTCTTCTATACCAACAACCCTGCGAGGTGGGTTGGGCTGAGAGTGACGGACCTAAAGTCATCCAGCCAGCTATCATGCCTAAGGCAAGACTAGAACTCACAGTCTCCTGGTCTCTAGGGCAGTATCTTAACTACTACGCCAATTTTAGACTAGAATTTTCTTGTGGGACAAAAAAAAATCAACAATGCCTTCTTCAACTCATGCCATGTTTTAGAGAGATCAGGCTGACATTGTTTCAGCAACTATGAAAAGGTTGCACATTATGATCGGAACATTTAAAACACTCTGAAGGTGAATCCAGGTTCTGTTTATTGTATGGACATGTCCAGGATGTTTTTCTGGATGAATAATCTTCCAGAATGTTCTTTCAACATGCTTTGAAATTTGCTTGGCATCTCCTCCTCAAGTTGGGTCACCATTTGTTGTTCCATGATCTTTCACAATTGGCCAGTGCTGCTACTTTTATTTTTGTTGCTAGAAAATAATGGAGTTTCCATGATATTGTATCTGCTGTGATTTTACGGAAATAGGTGATTTCAAGGAAAAACGAGGAAAAAATATGGGTTGGCCATGGACTTTAAGCTTCAGTCATTCAGAGTTTATTAAGTACATTTAAATGTTGCTTCAGTGAATAGTAACTATGAATGGCTTACATTAGTAAATAAGCTTAAAGTAAGAAAGGAAACAAAGCAGTTGTTACTTTCATTATATGTTCCAAGAAACAATGTTAAATATATTTCACCATTTAGGAGGAGCATTACAATAAAATGCACTGTGTGCCAAAGTTAAGAAGCATCCATGATTACATTTCCATATGTGTGTGTGTGTGTGTGTGTGTGTGTGTGTGTGTGTCTATCTATCTATCTATCTATCTATCTATCTATCTATCTATCTATTTAAATCAAAGTACTTTTTTCTCAGTGTGTGGATCTCTTATTCCCGGGGAATTAATTTTAGATGCTTATAAGCATCTAAAGTTCGTTCCCCGGGAATAAGAGATCCACACACTGAGGAAAAAAGTACTTTGATTTCTAAAAGGAAAAAAAAGGTTTCTACGGTAGGCATGATGTCAGCAACAGGAAGTGACAGTAAGTGGACTACATTTCCCAGAATTCGCCTTAGGAGGCGGGACAATAATGAGTCGAAGGCTACTGTTGGAAGACAATAACAGAAGATCTTGAACCGTGGGCAAAGGTTGGAGGAGCCTGTCATCCCAAGGTAGGAACAGTCTTCTCTTGATACGATTTGCAGTCCTTTAATATTGGACATCGGATGGAAGCTTAGCTGTTGCTTGACGCCGCCGGGCCTTCCGCCTTCTTAGGACGACGTTTTAGTCTTGAAAGTTGGAGGAAGGACATTTTACTGCAATTTGGCCTTATAACTGTCATCTGCTTGCAAGTGGGCAGGTGGAGTCGGCAGTCTGGCAGAGGGGCATCTCTGCCCCTCCAGCTGTGCATGATAATAATAATAATAGGTGAATGATCACTCGTGGAATAAAGAAAGGTATTACTCTCTAATCGGATCGCAAAGCTGTCTTGGAAAGGAAGGACGGGAGGAGAAAACTTGGGAGCGTCCAGCTTAGTGAGGATAAGGGAACCACAAACAGGTCTGCCCACTATGCAAACAGCCCTGGGCAATCTATTGCTTAGGTTTGCATCGCGAGGTTGTTAACATTATGTGAAATGACATTCTTGATTGGTGCGGAGGAGTGATGAATAAGGGTTACTTTGAAGTTTTTGGTATAGGTCAGGAATGTGGGCAGGAAATGTAGAAAGTATTGAAATTTGGAGAATGTTGATGGGTTGAAAGAGAACATTTGCAGATTTGTACATTTGTATTTCGTCTATCATCAACTTTTATTACTGCTTTTATGGTATGGTGACTCCCCAAAGGTTGAATTGAACTTCCCTAGATAAGTTACTTTCCCGTGCGTTTGGGAATTGAATTTAAGTACACGCGCGTGTTGTTTACAAGCCGGAAAGCTTAATTTTTAAAAGAAATCTATATTGCCTACGGGTCGTCTGTAGAACCTGCACAACTGCAGTTCCCTATCTGCAATTTCAGAGAGAGAAAAGCCCCCTAGACCCCAGTGGAGCTTCTTTTAATATGCAAAGATACAAGTAGAGATAGAAAAGAGAAGGTAAGAAACATTTTTCAAGAAACGCTTGGCTAGAACAATTCCATACTCATTTCTTGCCGTAAGAAATGAGATAACAGACTAATTCCTTCCTCCGTGCCTCTTTTCTGCTGAAGCTTTCGGGATAGGGATTTCTCCCTGCATACTTGGTAAGAGGTGAAGGTGGTCTCCATGCATCGGTAATAAATGAAGAATCAGAGGACGAGGTTACTATATTGGGCAGCTCTTTTATGCATAATGGGAAATAAGTCCTATTGAATTCAATAGCGCTCCTCCTTAGCCTGGTCTGGACCAGCGTGTCTTGCTTCACTATTGAATTCTCTTGTCTTCTAGCCAGCATCCCCGTAGGGATAGTTGCCGAAGTTAGGTAGACAAGATGGTGCAGGAATAGGACGAGATTGCCTTCTGCTTATAAGGAGTAGTAGAAGTTTGCACTGTTGCTTTCCGACGACCGTCAGCTGTGTAAACCCCCAGAAGCGTGGGTCTTGGAGGGGGGTGGTCTGAAAACTGGCGGATGCAGATATTGTCGAGAAAAGGCCAAACGGAGGGTAGTGTTGGGCAAAGGACGTGAGAAGCCGCCTTGACTTAAGCGGACTGCTCTTCTCTGTTTTCCCCGCGGCCTTCGCGATCCCTTGCTCCTTGCCGGATGATCCCGAAGTCCCTCGGCCAACAGCGCCCTTCAGCCGACACGGAAAGCAGTGGTGGCGGCTGCGGTGCGATTCGGCTGAACCATGGCAGAGACGGAGAGTGGCAGCAACAGCTCGGTGCATGAGACGCGCTTTGAAGCGGCGGTGAAAGTGATCCACAGTCTGCCCAAAAATGGTAAGTAGAAGGAAAACGATGGAGGTAGACCCGGAGCAAGAGAGTGAGGGGTGGGAGGGAATTGCAAGATGTGGATGAGTTCGCTTTTTTTCCTGACTTTTTGAAATAAATGATGTCAATCATGATGCCAGTCAGTCTGGTGTAGTATCAAAGCTAAGCAGAGCTGGACCTGGTCAGAACTTGGATGGGAGACTCCCTTCATAAGACATAGTAACTGGAAAGTGAAAGGCTACAGTCACCAAACTACTTAGGTGGGATTGCCAAAATGGTCAAGAATAACTTGAGGAAGTTTTATATTGGATCTGGAGTGTCCAACATAGACTGCTCACTCTAGGTAGAAAAAAAACACAAAATATCTCTCTTCTAGTCTGGAATCACACCCAACACCCACAAACCAATCAGCTGTGTTTTAGCTTAGTTCACTTATGATTCTGCATATGCTGTACAAATCCCCATATATTAATTGAATTGCTTTAATGATTAGAATTACATTTAGGGTAAAGGTTTTTCCATAGTGCTGGAAATTTTTCCATCAGTGACAAACATTTTAGAATTAGGGTGCTGCCAATTTTATATAATTATTACAAAGTGTGTTTCCAGGCTGAGTATGGACTTGAATCTGAATCCTGAATATTCTATGTCCACATAGAATTTATGCTGAAAGTGGTTGTTCTTGGAATATAATTCTATACAATTTGTTTTAAAGTTAGTGAAACTCCAAATATACGATGATATGCTGAAAGTAAAAGTATATGTATTGACCATAAAATAAAAATGTATTGACCATAAAATAAAAATCTGTACTGAAAAAATGCCTGTAAATGGAGTCTTGGCAACTAGACTTTTCTTTTTCTATTTGTACAAACCTTTCACTGCTTATCCAAGTAGCTTCTTCAGTCTTAGCAAATGGGTTGGGGCAACTCCATATATTCCAGGATGGTTTCATTTTTCACCTGACCTGAATAATTTGTTAGGTGAGCAAAGAGTAAATGTTTCAACTCCTAAATTCTTTCTCTACATGAGTCCCTGAAAATGTGGGATCCCTATACTGCAAAAATGTTTTTATCCAGTCATCTTAAAGTTATAAGCTAAGTGTCAGAAATTCTTATCTTAAGCAAAATGGTTAGAAATTCACAAAAAAAGTTCAGTAGGGAAGAAAATGTGGCCAGTGATAAATCCATGGAGTGTTGGGATAGTCTGTAGAATGTAAAATGGTTAACCCTCAATGAGAACAGTTCTTCAGAATCTAAAATTGTCTTGATTTTTACAATTTCTTTGACAATTAAACAAATGATTTACATTTCAATTAATTATTCTTTGGCTAGCATCCATATCCACACTAAGGTTAGGAATACATTGTTCCTTTTTGTTAGATTTTGTGTAGGCGATGGCTTATCGGTATAATAATACGTTTTCAAGTTTCTTGTTTTTCAATCCTTTTTTGAAACTGCTGGAGCAGCACAGGAATTCACATCATTAAACGTAATTTGTAGACTTTTTAAAAAGTATTTTAAGAAATAATGGATCACGTACAAACTTTTGTTTCCATTCCTTCAGCTTTGTTAATTAACCATTTGATAGTTGCAAAATGATTTCCTGTGCAATGGCCTAACATTATCTTAGCTGTGAAAATAATGCCTCCACTTTATTTCTGTTTCTTTATTTAGAGGAATCATCATTTATTCCTTCATTAATAATATTGTTTGGTTGGGTTTTCTTGTTAAGTAAAGCCATGTTTTGGACTCGAAGGCTCCTTTTTCAATACAGTTATGACCACAATTGAGCCTAAAATTTATTGCTAGGTGAAACATTTGTTAAATGAGTTTACCCCATTTTACAACTTTTCCTGCCACAGTTGTTAAGTGAATAATTGCATTTGTTAAGTTAGCAATATGGTTCTCCAGTGAATTTGGATTCCCCATTGACTTTGCTTGTCAGAAGGTCGCAAAAGCTGATCACATGACACCCCGGATTCTGGAAGTCTGATAAATATGAACTTGCCAAGCACCTGAATTTTGAACATGGGATGCTGCAATGGTCATAAGTGTGAAAATGGTCATATGGTGGTATGCTACTGGTTCGGCCTCTCACGATCAGCTGAGAGGAGGAAAAAGAGACTCCAGGATAAGCTGAGAGGAAAAAAAAAAGACATCAGCTGAGAGGATAAAGAAGAGAAAAGCACAGGATTGGCCCTCCAACCCACCTCTGTGCTTTTCTCTTCTTTATCCTCTCAGTTGATTGGCAATGCAGGCCTCACTGGTGTGTGGAAAACTGGGCGTGGGCGTGCTCACCAAACCGGTAGTGGAACAGGTCGGATCCCACTGCTGGTCATAAGTCATTTTGTTCAGTGCCATTGTAACTCTGAATGGTCACTAATCAAACTGTTGTAAGTCAAGGACTACCTTTATATAGGTCAAATTGTCCTCACAAGTAATTCTTGGAACTGTAGATGTAAAATGGAAAGTACTGTATCAATATACGGTATATCTGCCATAAGCAAGATGGATGTGATAAATTTCATTTCTAAGATATTGAGTAGACAGTACCTTAATAAATAAAATAGATTTGGGAGTGGTTTGAATAAAGACTTCAGATTTTTAAAATCTCTTTTACTGGCCCATTTTGTGATTATTTTGCAAATGGTCTAGAACAGCTAACCTGCCTAAAAGGTAAAGACATTTGTGGATTCAATATTATTAGGTAAGTCATAGGGATAGGAACATTCTGATTTATCGTTGGTAGAATAATTGTCATATTTACTGCAATGTGCTTTGAATTTCTATGGTGTTTTGTTTATTACTAGAATATGGATTTTTACCCTGTGGATTCCAATTCAGATCTAATATGAGACATCGCAATTATCCTTTTTTATGTTTGTCTGGACATTTTACTTTTTCTAATGAAAAGAAACACAAAATAGTGTTGACACCATTGCCTGAATATTCATATTGATTGGTTCATATCTATTTGTGCAAAGGGAGTTTCATCATTAGATCTTCTAAGAGTTTAAAGTCAAAATAAACAAGATAACTGACCTTTGAGTTGAAAGTAATGGGATTAAAGCCATTTTTAAATCCCCTCTTTATTTTAGCTTTTACAATAACATAAAATCACTTTGTTAATGCAATCATGTCACAGTGTTCTATTTCTCACTCTAAAAATCTTTTCCTGTAGGTTCTTTCCAGCCAACAAATGAAATGATGCTGAAATTCTATAGTTTTTATAAGCAAGCAACTCAAGGACCTTGTAACAGTCCAAGGCCAGGATTTTGGGATCCTATTGGTAGATACAAATGGTAAATAGTATATAACAAAGATGTTTTTAATGAATTAAAGTGATGCCTTGTCTATTCCCCACCCACTCCTTTTATAGAAAGATTTTGTCTTGGTGATACGGCACAACCTTTGTCCAACTTCCTGTCCTTGTTATATCCAGATGGTGCTAAAAAAGTATTTTAAAATATAATCCTGAAAACTCTGGAGATCATAGAAACACTTTTCCTTCTGCCTGTTATTGATACTTTTTTAAAATAAAAACTAATACAAAAATATAAACGTATGTACTATTTGAAATAGAACTTGATCACTTTCTTGCTTTTTTTTTTTTTAAAAGTGAACTAACAACAATGTGATTACTGGAAAAAAAATCTATGCAGTTTCTTAGATAATAAGCACAAAAGCCCACAGTCCTATATTAATTATTGAAGTTACTATTACATAATAGTACAGCAGCCTAGTATTTTAAAGATGTTCTTCCTGTGACATTCATTGTAGGGATGCATGGAATTCATTGGGCACAATGCCCAAAGAAGATGCTATGATTGCATATGTTGAAGAAATGAAAAAGGTAAGAACTGTTTTATATACATTTTATATATATGGTATTCAGCTTTGTTCGGGTATTTTCCCACGTCATTGTAGTTGTGCTTTTAAAGTTGTAGCAATGTTTCGGCAGAATCTCATCTGCCATCATCAGGCTTCTGTATTGTGTTCATCTGTG